TCCTGTCCTGTGAAATTTTATGGCCACCATAAAATAATGTGACGGTAGTGGGACTCATGACCGGTTTATTGTCCGAAATTTGTTTCCGTCATGAACTGACTGTGCCCCATTTTTCTTACCCCGAAAGCACGTAATCCTGAAATATATCAACCACAGCGGAAGAACATTTAGTTTCAGAAATACTTCACAGAGGGCAATAGAGGCCACCTGTCGAATTCCCAGTGAAGCTCACGTGAGTGTTTACAACGGTGCGCATCTCCGCCATGATAAATCACATTTGTTGAGGCAGCGAAAGGAAGTTGTTACTACTGGCTTATAAATCACGCGAGGAGAATTATGTTGTAACGTAATCAACTTTAAGAGCTGTGAACGAAAGTAAGGACAAGATAATTACACGGGGCCCTCGGATTGTACATCTCGTAAGCTTTTTTGTTCTGCAGATCGGCACAAACAGAAGACTGTGCAGGTGCGTTGTTGATGGTTTTACGTTTGATACCGTGGAACAGGTCCTCTGACTTCGCCTCTAGCGTCTAGTTACAGCGCCGTAGGCTTTGTACTCGCAATTAGCCGGATCAGGTTTCTTGCTTCCGGGATTGCGGGTCCGTCATTCTTGTGGAAATTGGATTATGGTCCACTGTTGGATTAAAAAGTCAGATTAAGCAGGGGCAAAGGGGAGGAAGGAAAGTGGGAAAGTACGGATAATGAAAGAAGGTTTCTTTTTGTTAAATATGGTTTTCAAAGAACGCTTAAGTCGAACAGTTGTTTTGAAAATGGTGCAGGAATAATTAGATCTAACGGAATGCATACATACCTGTAATACGTACATATTTTGATAAATGTATGGCACCAGTAATTGACTCATATTGCAGGATCAACACACACAGTCTCTCGGAGCATTTCCGGAATACATCTTATTTTCAATAGTGGTATGGGGCATGGTTTTAGACGGCGGGGTTGACACTCCGCTCAGTAAAGGCTTTTTCCAAAGTTAACTCGGACTTTACAAGTGCTCAGCTGGAATAGTAGCCGTCAACAGATTTTATACTTCAAGGCCACGTAAGGATTTTACCCCCTCTTTGCTGTGCTCCTAGCTCTGAGGTGTCTTCACTCGCCAGGGCTCGCTGTTCGAGTTGCAACGTTGCATGATTTTGCTGTGACCTTGAATCATTCGATTTGGTGACGTCTACAATACTGCAATGCTCATATTGGATGCAATGACGGTCGCTGATCCCCACCCCCCCCCCCCCCCCCCACACTCGACGTCTGTTATCCGGCGTGTAAATGAAGAGAGAAGAGCCCTCGAGAAGGAACATTATCGTGTTTACAACAGACCGCCACTGGTCACTCTCCCTGAGATCTATTTCTAAAAAGCCTCACATTTACGTCGTCCTCCGAGGTGTCTCCCCCTTTATTCGTCCCACACGTCTCATCCTCATTGATTTGATCATAAAAAGTTATTGCTGATGCTTCTGATTGAACTATTCTTAACCTCACTTCTCTGCATTTTTTCCTCAAACGCCCACAATCTGTCTTCTAATACGAGAGACATCGTTTCACACCGTTGGAAGAGAAGAGAACTTTTTGCCGTACGTTCTATGTAACTGCGCGGAGTGAATTGGCGTTGGCAAATAACTCGCACGTGTGGGTGACGTCACGATTCTAGGGCATCAGTATCGCTTCTACTGGTAATTGAAAACGGGACGCGACTGCACGACTCGAACTGCTATCCCGACACAAATGTTTTCAACACTCGGCTTAGAGCTTCCGTCTCCGAAGTAGTTTGCCTTAGTTAAACCGAAGTGTTACTGCCCGGAAGCGGCCAGCATTATTTCTAAGCCACAATCAGATCTTATCTCAAAAAATTACAAAATGCTTTCCTATAGAATTATCTGTTTCTCTCTCCTACTCTCCCCACGAACAATCAGCTGTAAAGCTGTCCCACTATACGCCATGTAGGCGCTTGGGGGGAGAGGAGTATAGCTCCTACTCATTCTTGACCTCGGCACCAGATGGGGTGAGTGGCCAACATTATGCCCTGGCCGGCTTTACCCCCGGGAAAGGATCCCGGTACCGATTGGATAGGAGGTTGGGTGGAACCCCAGAGCCGGTCTGGACGCAGACCGGATCTTGACTAAAGTCGATCTGTGTCCATCGATATTCCGTTCCTTGGCCACCTAATTCATTAGGCGAATATTATACAACACCACGGCGGTTAGTAACAAAAAGTAAGGTTGTAATCCTAAGCAATTGCATTATTTAATTTCATTTTGAAGACGAAGAACTCGCACTTTCGGTTCTATAAACGAATTTGCAGATGGCTGTATAAAATTTGCAGTGTTGTCATGAAAAGGAAGGTTGTGTAATATCGATAATGGCCCAGCAATCAATGACAATACGCAAAACGTTAGTTATTTATAATCACTTTTAAATGTAAATGTCGTGGATACAGCCAATAAGAATTAGATTTCAGTACTGAATCGAGTGCGTTACAGCCGTCTTGCAGCAGCCTTTAAGATTAACGGTCCGTTATTTCCAACGGAGCCAGAAATCGGATATTCCGTTATTAGTTCCACACACGCGCTCGGCTGTAATGCTCTTTTATTCCGTAAGATGGCAGTGTGAGTCGTCGATACACGCGGACGGTTGTCAGACATAACCTCCTTGTGCGTTGGATTTTGCACGTAAAATGCGGTAAGTAAGGTTGCCTTCTGTCTTTAAACATTCCTTTTGTTCTACGGCGTCCTAGACAAATACATCAAACATGTGCTTAGGGTTACCTCATGTCCCATTTTACCGTTCGTAGTTTGGCCCCGGTCTTCCGTTTTAGTAAAAGGCTCGCTCTCGTGTGTCTGAACTACAAACAGTGCGAAGAAAGTGATGAATTGTGTTATTGAATTGGAAAGTGCAAATGACTATCTGGTATCAGGAGAATTTTATATTTAATCCAATTTTTCATTTGTATTAATTACATAGAATGGAACCGTGATCATTGACTGACATGAAATCAAGTCATGTACTACAATGTGCCCCATCTTCCATCTCGTATAAGAAAGGGTGTGTTCCGGTTTGTAGGACCAAAAATATTGTAACCTAACACAGTTTTATTGTTTGGGTTATAACGAAGAGTTAGAGCCGGACTTTGACTTTATGAGGCCCAAAGTTATGTCAAGTTTAAGCGTTTCAAAAATTCGAAAGTCGAAATATATATTTTCCACTGTTACTGGAGGAAAAAGTAACAAGTAAACACGAAACTGGTGCGAATGAATGCATTATATTTAGCATTGGCATACAAAAGTGACGAAAGCCAGGACGGACACTGTTTGGACAAAAGATTAATTTAAGCAATAAAATGTTTTTGAGGCCCAAAGCCATAACTTAGCGTTTGCTTGAATTTGGCAGTCCGAAGAACTCTAATAAATTCATCTTTGTGTTACGTTGCATTTACCAACAGGCTCACCGAAGTCGGTATTATGTGGTTGTTCGAACTGCCACAAAGAGCGCGTAGTGGTGCCATCTGTTGAATATCAAAAACGACAAAAGGAAATTGCTTCGTAGTTTGTAATGTTTTTAACGACGCTTTTTAGTAGCTCAAAGTACATAACATCGAATGAGAGGATGATAGTGAATTGGAAAGGATGTGGAAGGAAGCGGTCGTGGCCTAATTTGAGCGGTCGTCCCGGAATTTGCCTGGAAGAACTGAGGAAAACCACGAAAACCAATCAGGATTAACAGTCTTTGGGCCGAGATATGAACCCGGGACATTGCTTGGGAAGCTATGTTTGTGGATAAGTGGTGTACGAACGTGTTAAATTTGAAAATACGTAATTTCCTACTTGGGTGATCATAGAAAGAGTATGAGGCAAGGCACGTAGCACAAATGAGGGAAATGTGAACTGCATACAAAATTTTAGCCTCGAAACTTGAAGACAACGGACCTCGTAGACCACCTGGGCGAAGGTGGATATTAGAAACTGATTTCAAAGAAGTAGGTTCTGTGGACGTGAACTGAATACACGTTTCACCGTTTGCTATTTGCTCATTAGTAATAAATCATCTTGTACTGACAGTGTCGTTATATAAACAATAAATAAGTTAACTACAGTTGCTTGGCTACAGACTGGACGACTTGGGTTCGGTTCCAGGCAGAGCAGGAAATGTTCTCGTCCACTCACAAGGTCAGGAGTGGCCCCCCCGGGCCCCCCCCCCCCCCCACCAATACCAATGAATGGCGTTGTTCTTAATTGAGCAGAGTGGACTAGTTTACTCCTCACACCAATGAATTTATATTCTTCCGCGTTAATTCGTGCCCTAGTTCGCCAGAGTAAATGTGTGACTACCAGGGCTCATTATCAGGCACACAATTTCCCCAATCAAGTCATTCTCCTTAAACTCATCTGCCATTTTCAGACTTTTAAGGGTTGCCTAACCCAAGTACGGACACTCAGTCTTAATATGGGAGCTGCAGTGTTTATCGAAGACCGAAGTCACTTTCAACTCTAGCAGGGAAAGTCTGAGTGTGTTTTATGAAGTCGTGTCATTCTTGTGTATGTTCCGGATGTTAATGTGTTCCATCAACATATGAACTTTTTAATAATGAGAACATGACGTCAGGTGCAGTGTAAACAACGTGTCTATGTTGGTAGCACTGAAATAGCTGCCGTGGCTTTTGAAAGTAGTTACAACACTTGCCGTTAGATGGTACGATATGCGACGTCACGTGTCAAGGCTTTAAGAATCTAGACTTCTCTTTTCGAGGTCCAAATATTATCTTCAACACTTCGTTCTCTAACATCCACAACCTTTGTTGTTCTCTCTGGGTGACTGAAGGCCACGCCATAGCTCAGGCTGTTTTTTTCTCAGCTAGCAGACTTGGAATAGTAATTGTGATAAAGTTTCAGAGATTTTTATTTATGGCATCTAATTTCTATTTTTCCGACTGCTAAATCAACATTACCGGCGATCAGCCCTTGTATAAAACTAGCTTTTTTTTTCCTTTGCAGGCAAAGCTTTCGACATTACTTACGTTCGCTTGTGGTTCTACTCCCCGAGGCCTGAAAGTTTCGCGATTTTCAAGCGAACCAGCGAGGACGGCCCGTGGCTACCGTATCAGTTCTACAGGTGAGTGTCTGCCCCTTAAACTGTCTCAGAACTTACACTGAGTAAATTTATCGTGTCACGAAAACACGACAGACGTTTCGCACGTGCCTACTGCGATGAACTGTTCATAGAGGAAGTGAACACCTCTGAAACGTCGGTTAGTTTTTATCAGAGAACACAGTCACGTGGTGTTCAGGTTTCCTGATTGATAGTGTCTCGTCTTGTCTGTCGTCATCATTAGGGACTGGTCTCACTGCCTTCAACTTTGTAGTCTTTGGTCATAGCCCAGACGTGTAGTTACTGAAGGTTTCCCTTACCTGAGGTCCAGGTTCATTCCCAGGGCAGATCATGCCGATAAAGTAGCACTAGGGTAGGTTTTAATACCTTTCATAACAACGAACCAGTTTTAACTCCTTGGGGCCATTTTCAGTGGCTCTGCATTTCGTTCAAACTTACGTAATAAAACGTGTAGTCGTGAAATTGTAAAATGTTACGACCGAGTCTGATAAGACCCCAAAATGCATATTAAAACTTTGGCTAAAATACATTTCAATTGTTTTCCCTTGTGCCTTGGACCACTGTTCCACTACACATATGACATTCTTTGTTTTCTCACGTGTTCGATTGGCAGTGGTTGGTGGTCTTTTGGGGCAGGTTGTTTCTCGTAGAACTCTGGTTTCACCTTTGATCTAACTCGTATCACGACGTTCGGTGTCTGCATTTGCGCGAACGCGTACAGACTGAAGGCGTTGCTTGTTCCCAGTGCCACCTGCAGGGACACGTACGGTCTCCCTGACAGCAGCTACACGAGGAAGGGACCCGAGGAGACCCGGGCCCTCTGCACCGCTGAGTACTCCGACATCTCGCCTCTCACAGGCGGTAACGTCGCCTTCTCCACCCTCGAGGGCCGGCCGTCTGCTTACAACTTCGACACGAGCCCCGAATTGCAGGTCAGTCCGGCTTTCAATCCGAATTCACGCAGAGATATCAAAACTTTCGAAGTTGGAAGTAAGATTCTTGGACCAGAGGGTTCAGAATCTTGGTATTTATTTATTTATAGTTGATTTAACGACTCTGTGTCTAGACTTGGCATTTTCTTCGAGGTACTGAGGAAAACCACGAAGAAATATCGGTCTGTATAGCCGAGATTCAAACCCGGGACCTCCAAAATACGAAGCAGGAGTACAACGTTCTTCAGGATCATAGCAAATCCAACGGATGTTTTTAAGTGTTTTATGTTCGTGGGTTCTGGACTTTAGATATGAACCAGTTATAATTTCTGAGACCATATTTTGTTTGTTTTTAAATTAGCAAATCTAAATTCGCCGCTTACGACGGGTTTGAATTCTATCCTAGCGTTGAAGTCTTTCGTCCCCCGTTCTTTAGTTTCGATTAGTAACGCGAGTAGTGTTTAGGGCTTCTGTGCTCATGAATAAGTCTTTAAATTTTAAATATCTGCCTCGCCAAAGTTCGCTTGTTCTCAACTTCCGCCGATAACTGTCCGACGTAGAAATAATTTCTCGCGCAGAATTGTTAACGGGTACCAGAGTTGTTCTGCTTTGTACTTCGCCCTTCGTTGGAAATCCCGGTGTTACGGGGCCGCACCCCCCAAAAAATATGCCCGACGAAACGAAGTCTGTACTCTTTTCTTTCGCAGATTTGATTGAATTTGAGAATGGAGAGAAGTTATTTAAGGAAAATACGAGTCTTTTTTATATTACTTTCTTTTTATTGGCTTGATTTGGTGAACTGGAACGCGTGTCCGCCCAACCCTGACCAGTGAGCCTCGCCAAAGTGAGGTTTGTTTTGCAGGAGTGGGTGACGGCCACGGACATCCGCATCACGCTGGACAGACTCAACACGTTCGGAGACGAAGTGTTCGGAGACCAGCAGGTGCTGCGCTCGTACTTCTACGCGATTTCAGACTTCGCCGTGGGAGCCAGGTGAGAAAGATCGCGAACTTCTTTTTACGTCAAACGCACCGAGACTAAGTGTGACCAGAGACACGAAAGTGCTGCTAGGGCGAAATCATATTTCCTGGGAAAGTTTTAGTTTTGTGAGATGTGAGGTTTCCACGTAGGTTGTAATCGTCTGGTTTGTGACGTCATGTAGATGATTACCGTTAGAGTTTATACAAAAACCGACTTTTGAAAAAACCTGATTTCGAATTCCAGTATTTCCAAAAAAACAGTTTTCGGAATTTTACAAAAAAAATTAAAACAATAAAAACTATTTGTACTTATTTTAAAAATTTTCAGTCTACTTAATATTTCTGGAACTACGAAAAATATAACAAAATAAAACATACTCCATACAAAACCAAATAAAAAACTAAAATAACTAAAATCCGTACAAAATATAAATTATAAATTTTTATTTTATTTAGTATTTTTATTCAGGAAATATGGTTTCTTTCTTGAATTCGTACTTCTAAAGCGTTTAATAATTTGGAAGTAATTTCAGTCTTTACATTTTTTAGTTCATTTAACAGAAATTTTTACATATTAATTCTAGTATGTAAAACCGGTTTTTTAAATTTTAAAAGCCGGTCTTCGAATTTTACAAATTTATCCAAAAAAAACCCGGTTTTTAAAAACCCGACAAACCCTAGTTACCATCGTTTCTGAAGGCGTTCCCACACATTTGAGTCCTTTCATGTGAAGGGACTGAGAGGCAGACGGACGAAAGGACCAACGACGTCTCCTTCGAGGACAAATGTTTCACTCCCGTTGCTTAGTGCAGTAACAGAATTTGCAGACACCACTCGTAGTGACCTTGGGCGACAGCTGTCAGTGTTCCTTCTGTGCTTCTGTGCAGATGCAAGTGCAACGGACACGCGTCGGAGTGCGTCGCGAGCACCGCCGTGGATGGCAGCGCGCGGCGCGTGTGTCGCTGCGAGCACAACACGGCGGGCCC